GTGCCTCTCCACAGTAATAGGCAAATCCGAAATCGCATGCCGTCAACCCTCTATAGATCTATAAAAACAAATGGAGCCATTGAAAACTATGAGAAACGAAAATAAAAACAATGACAAATGTCCAGAAAAGTAAACCACTCGGCTTTTTCTGCACTCTGGTTTGTTTTTTCGTCATCTTAGTTTGATATAGTTCTAATCACATTGTTCAAAACATTTAAATACGCAATAAACGTCACATCCGCTGTACATCTTAACGGCGCTTCGCTGCCGCGCGACCACCACCAGTTGCCCGCGGGCTGAGTTAACCGCGACGACGCCCACTCCTACGGGCATTCGAACTGGTGACCTTATGGTTGCAAGCCAAGCGTGCAGACCACTGGGCCACCGCCCGACCAAATATACAGTTCTTCCACTGTTTCCGGTTTCGCTCTATATCAATATGTCTCGAGCCATTGACAATCCTCAACCTTGGGTCCCCAACCAGTATGAATTACGAAGCCGACGGTGGCAAGAGAGGAGGTCAACGATTTCATGCTTCTTCGCCAAGTGGTTGGCTGACCTCCACGCGTTCTTGCTCAGTTAACTCCCTTGCGAGCGAATAAGGCTCAGCATGGTAATCCTTCACATGACATGTACAGGACGTGGCCAATGCGCCTCAATTAATGCATTGAAACAAGTCAAGTAAATGGACGCTCATGTTTCCCAAGACGCGACACCGGATTTCCTCATTTCGATCCCGGTGCTCCCACCACACACGGGTTATCCTCCGCAAACATGTGTTGTCGAAGACCGAAAATCGATGCATGTCATCTAACTGGATCAGCCAGAACTCACTTCCGTGCAACAGGACCGCGCGGACGTAATCGTTGTACACTGTCTTCTTTAAGCATAGGGATATGTTCAGACGATGCCACAAATGGCTTAGATTGACAAATGCCGACCGGGCTTTGGCGTTGCGAAGAGATACTTCCTTCCCAATTGTTATGGAAAAAGAAACAAACGAGCCTGTCATTCATCGTCGCCTTTTGGAATAGAACCTAACTGGAGATTCAGTGCAGTCCTACGTAGGATCATCAGTTAAGTTCAACTCAAGATGTGAACCCAGTAGGGGTTTCCCTAATTTGTATCAATTAGTGTCTTCTATATTTTAGTGTTTTCGTTCCAGCAACACACAAACTACATAGCACAGCCAAGTTCGGAAATGCACCAGACGCGTTTTGCCCTATTGACGCTCGTCAGTGGTGCGCATTCCCTCATGGCGGCTGTAGGTAGATGCCAACTAGCCAGCAGCTTAAGCCACTGAGCCATGGGGGACGTCGGCTGGACTACATACTTTGCAGGCTAACTGGGATATATCACGACCCCAGTAGGGGACCGAGGGAATGCGCACCACTGACGAGCCCCAATAGGGTGAAACGTGCCTGGTGCCTTTCCGGACTAGGCTGTACTATGTAGCTTGTGAGCTACTGGGACGAAAACACTAAAATTACAATTAAAATCCTCCTACCTCCTGTCTTGTTGATTGGCTCCAGTGTGTTTAGTAGCTTTGTCACGCCCTCATTTGTACCGCAGTATTCCCCATGCATACGATTCTGTTCTGTATCATCTCGTCCTTGCGTTCTCATCTGCGATCGTAGGTTTTGAGCATTTGCGTGAGGTTGGAACAGCATTTTTGCGGCGACACAGCACCATTGCTTATATCAGCAGCAATACAGCATCCTAGGTATACAAACTTGTCCACCAGCTCTAGCTATGTTCCTTCAATGGTAACTGAGTGGGCAGGCGACTGCCAGTCATGGAGTGGCGCTTTACACTTAAAGGGAGGAAGGCACGTGCCATACTTAAACGCTTCATTCGCCAGACGTTTTAAAATGTGATGTACACTGTGTGAATTGCCGCCGAGCAGTCGGTCACGCGATTACCAGAAAGAAGCTCAACATCAAGATTTTGTGAGCATTCCAGAGATCTCAGCAGGACGTTTTAAATTGCAAAGTTGAAGAGTAATGGGGACACTGGGCACCCCTGTCGCACACCCCACGCTATAGTGTGCTGCACTTCCAATCCACATTGTTGTCTCCGGTCTTGTCTCAATTACACTCGTTTTCTTCTGAGGGTTTTTCCTCCAACGTTTATTTCGTATGATCTTCCACTGACCTTCGCAGGAGTAACGCCTTTCTTCCACCGATCGTGACCATCAGCTACTGATTAAACGCACACCCTCCTCTCAGGTAGTCCCCGTTTAGTGTGATTGTAGCACCGTTTCTGAGTGGTCATTTGTTTTCTCACACTGTTCGGTAGCCTCTCATATTGTGGCGAAACTAGGCGTAAAAGTGTACCGAAAGTTGACATCAGAGTTCCAGACCTTCAGCTGTATCTGCGCTGCACTGGACTCAGACCGATATTCGTTGAAGGAGTGCTGCGATTCTCCAGTAACATGCGATACGGGTCTTCACCAGTAGCTCTAGCCTTTGATAACAGTCGTTTGGTCTGCTTCACTGCTGACTTCTCCTTTCCATTCGATTAGCTGTGATAATGGACTGATTTGCTGGTGCATGAATTTCCACTTGATTGCGAAGGCCCGGAACACAGTGTTCGTAAACTGGGGAGCACTGTCGGAGACCAGCTCCTCAAGTATTCCGTGCCGCGGGAATTGACATTTGCTTTTGTTGATTATTGTTTCTATGATAGTATTGGTAACTACATCGATTACAAACTGATCACTATAGTAATCCACCTTGAGTAAGTTATCTTTCCAGATGTCACAAAATAAATCCACTGTCACTGTCAATCAGGGACATCATGCGGCATTATTGAGTCCCTCGTCTTCCGGATTTCGTGGGAACTGCATGCCTTGCAATTCAGCGCATGATCCCCGATTTGACCCGTCATCTCTGGCCAGAACATCGGTTCTGGTGCTCATTTTATGGTATAGTTGGCACCCAACTGAGCGCGATGAACATCTGTCAACATTACTACTCGGGGCGATGACGTGATCAAAATGCGGCTTCCTTTAAACAGCCAACCATCATAGACAGAAAGTTCATCCCGAAAATTGAATTAAGGTGTTAGTTCCTTCGCTAGCTGTATTTTTTTGTTTCCGACCACCATTTATAATGACGTCTCGCAAAACTGAAAACGTAGCATCATCCACTGTGTGGCGCCTTATTTTTTTCAAACGGTCTTCCGTTACTGCCAGAAGCTGTATTAAGTTTTCCGCTGCGTTCTCTCCCGGACAATGCTCGGCTACTCACTCTTCACGGCGATAAACATATATGCACCAGGCGTGTGCGCAATATCCACCTCGTACTTTTAAAGCCGGATAAGCATACGCTGAAGACAACGGGGAACGATGTGCAGTGGTTTACTGGCTATCGACACAAGCGGTTGGTGGTCGGCATACACAGTTGTCTTTCTTCCGAAAGTATGATTGTCGAAACACTCCATGGCCAAGACTACTACGAGCATCTCCTTCACAATCCTCGTATAGCGCCGCTCGTTCACTGTGAGTGCTTGACTGCGGAAATCCAATGGTTTTTCCTTTTGTAGAAGAACACCGCCTATCCCATCCTGGCTACTGTCACACTGTACCTCCAAAGGCTGCACTGCATGGTAATATCCCAGTACGGGCGCGTTCTTGATATGGTACTTAATGGTCGCAAATGCGGCTTCCTGTTCTTTTCCCCAACCCTACTTTACACTTGTGCTTTAGATTCCTGATCGGTGTCATGATACCACCATGAAGCGGCTCAACTAATTCATCATACCGTTTAAGCCATGGATTCCTTTCACGTCGTTAGGGGGTGGCATTCCTCGAATTGCCATAATTTTTCCTTCATCTACCCTGGTTTCCTCGGCTGTTAGCACATGCCCACGTAAAACCACCTCGCCTTTCCGTAGCGCAATTTTCTCACGTTTAAGTTTGATATTCCTTTGCACACAAGCCTGCAAGAAACGATGGAGATTAGCATCAGACTCTTCTTCCATCGGGCCTAAATCAGGATATCGTCTGCTAAACATTTTACACCATATAACTCGTCTGCAGCTTGCATCGACCGTTTTTGAAAAGTTTCGCTTGAAACCTACGAACCGAACGGTAAACGCAGCCCACGATAGCACCCGAACGGTGTGGTAGAGATCGTAAGGAAACTGAACTTCTCTTCCAGAACCACGTTCCAGAATGCAAAATATAGGTTTGCTTTAGTGAATTACTTGGCCCTGACCAAATGCGGCAGAATGTCTTCCGGGTTCGGCAGCGCATAATATTCTCTACGCAGGCCCTCATTCAACGGTTTCGGGTCAGTACTCACGCACAGTTCACTAGTCTTCTTCGTAACGATTTCGAGCTGACTAACCCAATCGGTTAGCTCGTCAACTTTGGTGATCACACCCTCTCTCATAAATTTGCTCAATACAACGGAAAACCGGTCACGCAACGCAAACGGAACTCTCTTAGATGGCAGCGCAATCGGATGTACCAAGGGACAAGTGAGCAGTTCCCTCGAATTTTTCAAGTTTTTCATTCCTCGTCTGACATGGTATACTTGCGGATGGCATGTCACTTTTCCAAGTGATCCCTTGCTTTTAGTATTTTAATCCTAGGACCCCATACTTTTTTCAACTTCTTCACGATGGATTCGGAACTTCACACTACCTTTTTTCTTCGCATTTCTGATTTTCTGTTTCTACAGCAGTTCCAGTTATAATGGCTGAATCCGCATCACTTGTATTCTCTCATCAGGGTTGCACAAGCGAGCTGTGAGCTCTTTTTCATTTTGCAATTTTACCACCACCCGATCGCTAGCATTCGGATTTTGAAGTTCACTCAGTCATTCTTGTTCGGTTACATCACCTAGCGATTGCTGGCTGGCAAAGCCATCCACAGCGTCCACCCTACTGCAACTTACCTAAATCCGATTTCTTTGCAGTGATCAATGAGTTCACTTAAACCAGATGACTTCTGCTCCATTGCTTTCTGAAACAATTCTTTTTCTGTCCTCTAGGTTTCTTAAAAGTCCCCGACTAGATGCCAAGCTGTTCAGTGCAGAGGTATCCTCACTGGAACAAGTCAAACAGCGATGTATGAAAACTACAGAAGCGGTGTCCGAGCTTAACGAGCGCCTACAAGTAAATGATATAATATGAGCTACTGTGAGATTTATTTAAAGGCAGAAGAAAGCGAACATCAAGAGCTTGTACCAACATGTGATGAACTAAATGCGATTAAAAACGTTTGTTTTTGTTTTAATGTTTCATCGATGCATAGGAAATCGCCCAACTACAAGAGCAAAAGCGGTACCTTGAGGACCAGATAGATAGCTACTGCAATCTGTCCCTCGTGAGTCGCCCAACTCTTTTTGAATAATTCACTCCAGGACTCTAAGAATGCCCAGGCTCAATTAGAATCCGCTATGGCAAAAATGGTATGACCAATTGGACGTTTTACATTCGTTCTTGACAGGAACTGATGGATAAACAGTTTCTGGATACTATTGGCTTGGACGGATGGCGATGATCTTTACTGGCACACGAATGAACAATGCCACAACACTCGGAGAAAGTTTTATGGGCCCATGCTTTATACGCGACTGTTCTCTTCATGTGTTTATTTGGACACGCATCGTTTTTCAAGGCGCTGGACTATAACCAGTTGTATATTTCTTTCTGCACTTTCGGTCGTCAAACTCGGTTCTTCATGGTTTATTGGGGGAAAAGCCAAACAACAGAGAAACACATTGTAGCTCGTTCACACAACACTTCATGTATATCGTCTAACTTGTTCCAGTACTGACGATGCAGTTCCACCGATAGCGTTCCCTCCTTAATACAGTTTGAACCAACCATTTTCTTTATACTTCTAAACATAAAAATCAAAACGCGCAGATTGTGAGATAATGCTGCTTTACCAGTCACCAGACACTTGCTGACTACTGGTCACCGAGTCAATCCTGATGAGTCATTCACAGTTTTACTGCGTGATCAGCGGTCCCCAATCTTTAGACTATTGGAGGCTATTGTTATCGATCACGAACGATCACCGTTGTGCATCCAAAAACAGCTGACAGTGGCTCTAAGTCTACCGTGGTAGCCCATGCGCTTTGCTAGCTATAATCACCGTTTGTCCATCTTCTAATGTTGCATGTTTGTGTGATTGATAAAATGCACGAAATGACGACGTCATCTCGCAATCTACGTCTACTGATTTTTATGTTTGAAATCAAATTTGTCATGCAACTCCAGCATGAACCTCATGCACAAGTCAGCCGCTGCCACTGAAGCCAGTGGTACAGTATATCTCATCAACCGCGGCACTAGCATCCGCGCAACGGCTGTTATACTACTACGCTCCTGTGGAGGCCAATAGAACTTCTTCAGTTGTGGTTCTATGATGGTGCCATCTATTGACGCTAAGATTGAAAAGAGGTGGTCACCTGACTAGCGAAAGACTGCAATCCTGGTGACGTTGAAGAATTCGTGACTGTGTGAGACTAGCATAATCCCCAGTCGCACAAACATGGTGCATTACACCGGTGTGAAGGATTTGAACCAGTTGGACATGTTTCTAACATATTCAACTTGGAATCCAAGGTATAAAATACACAGGCAGCTTCACAAACGCAAGGTTGATGGTGCATACTGTGTAGCATGTCATCTACGATGGAAGATACCTGGCACAGGTTGTCCTGCGTTTTGACGCTTCTCCATCTCTCCACACAAGAATCGTTTGTCAGTCACATTTATTATTCAACCCGATACGGCGTCTGCATGAAATTGTACATCCGCATTAGGCGAGTTTCAAACATGGGCCATTTTAGCTGTGTAGCCAACCGATGAGCATTAAACTGGGTCGGAACTTAACATCTTTTACGCCAACCTAGAGGCTTACAGTCTGCATTCCTCAGATCTAATTCTGGAATATGTTTTCACATTCTTCATGCTGTGTTTAGGCTGCGATTCCCATCCTCGATAGCACTGTGTGGTATTACCATTGTGAACTCGTGTATTCGAACCCATGAAGGGCCGAGCGAGTAAATTCGCGTGCTCACGCCTGAGTGATCAAATGGTATTCTTTCCGCCATTTCATATGTGTCCACCTGTCTACTCGAGCATACAAGTGTACAAGTTGAATTCGTCACATGATGACGTGATCAGACCGCCGTCACACTTCCTGTAAAGCACCGGATGACCGCCTCCTTTTTTGATAGCCATCAGCAGTGCGCATTCTATCTGTTCTCTGTGAGACTCTAACCGCGATCCTGCCTTTGTCTGTAGTCAAGATCACGGATCGCCTCTTCTTACATTCATTTCGGTCCTCACTACCAATCTTCCGTTCAAAGTCCACATCTTAGGACGTGCCAACTGAGCTTTCGCGACTCTCACTCTCTTTACCATACCGCTCAATGTTTTATCATTCAAAACCTCGTCAGGTTTTACTGATTTATTTCTTTGCCTACATTTTACGTCCGTATCCCAGCCGACAGATAAGACAACAGGTTGCACTTGTATACGCACTGCGTATTCTAGGGTTGATTTATGCTGCATTTCTCAAGCCTGTCAACTGGGCACAAGTAGCATATCCTCCTACCGTTGGTTTGATACGGCGGCCACAGGTCAAGTTAGAATGTTCACCTCTCACAGCTCCAGAACCAAGTACTCGCCAGGTAGCAGTAAGCGCATTCGCAAACACTGCACTCTGTTGTGTACGCAAGTTGAGAACCGCTGTCTGCGAAGTGGAATTTACTTTGATGTCATGTCTACCTAACGTCAATACATATAGGAGTGAAGCATGATTACTGGTGGTGTGTGCGTGTACATGCGTTTGGTAGTGACAAGTGCGGATAGCATGACCTGTCTGAACGTGTGGGTGGAATACACAACTTAATCTCCCGACTAGTCAGGTGGAGCATCACATCCATTCAGTGGCATTTGCAGCCGGATGCCTATTGGTCGATTGGGGGTAACTTTGGCAATGCTGTGAGTATGACCGTGGTTCACATGAATTTTGGGTGTTTCTAACCTAAAACAGCACACACACATTTCACACTTATTTGATCACATCAGGTAGGGATTGCGGGCATTGAACTCGGGGTCATTGGAATGTTAATTAGTACCTTTACCACTTGGCTCCCGTGCCACGACTGGCAACGCATGGCACAACGCTTAATGACTGATGGGAAGGGTCCTTTTGATGCATCCGTTGTGTGCATGCATGAATTACGACGCGCAATCTCAATATGGACCGCGATTTCCATTGAAGCGAACTTTGGCCAATTCGATCACTAGGACCTGTAGGACTAGTTAATACTAGTCCGAGACGGTGCGCGAAAGTAAGCGCGGATATCAGAAGGCAATAGGAGTCGGACACAGCGGATTGTATTCGATGAACTACAATAAGAAGCGGACGGATGAAGCGAGGCGAGCGCGTACACGTGAGCGCGGGAACTTACAAGGCAGTTGTGTGACAAGCCGGTTGTAAGGACGAATAAAACAAGAAAGAATGCTGTCCAATCGGTCAACAACTAAATTGTACATGAAAGATAAGAGTTATCTTTTTGGGCGCTACAGAGCTCCCCTCCTAGAAGGCTGAACATAGAAAGCCTTTGATTTCGAAAGGGACGGTTGAATCAAGGTTCGTAAGGCAAAATCGTGCCAAGGAAAAATGAGGGAGCGTTCATGTAAATGTGCGTTCGCCGGAAGTCGGAGTTCACGTGCCGTTTGTGATTTGTTATTTCTTGATTGCAGGGCAGGGTGCGTTTCGGCGGGCTGTTTGAGCGGGCTTGTCGGACGATAAAATAACTGGCTAGCCCAGAAAAAGGCCGACAGGACCTCAACCTCCGCTGCTGCCAAATGGTGCGCTTGGGAGTGGTCTCTCCCCCTGCTGCACCACGCCCCGCGCCAAAACGATCCTCGTCCCACGAAGAAACGACCACGGTGCCGCGAAGAAGCGACGCTCGTCCAGCGGAGAAACGACCAGCGTTCCCGTCAGGCTCCTCGAAAAGATCCCTCGTGTGGGCCAGTCGATCGAAGGGGAGGGTTTGGGGTATGTAGAGACGAGAAAAAAGGAAAACACGCGCAGAAAACGCAAAAAGAACAATCGAATGATCTGCGTGTTTAAATATTTTGGTTTTGAGTATTTTTTCGAGAAAGGTTTTTTGGAGGTTTTTGATATTTTTGCTTGTTTTCGAAACTTTAAGCGACCAAAAATGGGGCAAATATACACACTATCTACAAAGCTAAAGATATTTACACTGTACATAGTCGGAGAAACGAACGGGCTCACGCACCTCCCGACCACGGCGATTGGTCGTGGGAGGCGGCGAGCTAGATTCGGGATATGTTGGGGCGGATTGTAGACCGAGATCGTAGTCTGTTTGAACTGCACTAGGATGCTGTAAGCCGGTGCGGTGAGTTGTGACGAAGCACTACTAGACGAAGTAGGCAAGGGGTTTTCTTCCATAAAGGCGAGGTTTAGACCGTCGATGGTGACGAATTCATGTTGACCACCGCGGTCAATAGTTTACGCCTTACTCGCACGATGTAGCACCTTGAAAGGTCCTATGTACGGCGACTGAAGTGGCTGTCGAACACCGTCTACGCGAAGAAGAACGTGTGAACACGTAGACAGCTTCTCGGGCACGTACACTGGTGTCTTCTGCGATCGAGGAGCGGGTGGACGTAGCTCACGCATCTGGTGAGCCAGTCGATCAGTGTAACTTTCATAGTCAAAAGTGGAAGTATATGGGGCTGGTGCTACCAGCTGTCCGGGCAATCGCAGCTTACAACCGTAGACTAGCTGCGCTGGTGTGGCGTCGAAGTCGGTTTTAACCGTGTTTCTTAGTCCTAGAAGGACGAGGGGAAGTGTTTCAGATCATGAAGGATCTGCGTGCGCACGTAGCGCTGCCTTCAACTGGCGGTGAAAACGCTCCACCATGCCGTTAGCGGCCGGATGATACGCCGTCGTCTGAACGTGGCGACAGCCTAAATCCTTAAGCAACGTGGCAAAGCTTGACGAGAAATGTGACCCTCGATCGGTGGTCACGATGGCGGAACAGCCGCATTGAGCTACCCAACGCTCTAGAAGAACCTTCGCTACTGTTTCCAAAGAGCAGTTAGGTATGGGAATAGCTTCCGGCCACCTAGTGAATCGATCGACACAGGTCAGCAGACATACATAGCCTTTGGAAGGCGGCAGAGGACCTACGATGTCGACGTGCACGTGATGAAAACGTGCGCCTGGTGTCGGAAACGTGCTTAATGGGCTTCTTGTTTGCTTGTGCACCTTCGCGTTTTGACACGGAATGCAAGCAGCTGCCCAAGTATGGACGTCCCGATTAACATTGCGCCAAACGAATCGTGCGGTTACGAGTTTAACCGATGCACGAACGCCTGGATGAGACAAGCCGTGCAACGTGTCTAACACGGTCTGCCGAAACTCGCGTGGGACAACTGGGCGTGGCGTGCTCACAGATAAATCGCAGAGTATAGTTCCGTCTGATGATATCAGCGGAACGGGTCGTATGTCCAATGAGGAAGACCTGCGCAGTAGATCAACCTCAGGATCGTTGAGTTGTGCTGTGGCCATGGCTGCCAAGTCGATAGCAGTGCTGGGGTCAGCGGAAATAGCTTGGATGCGGGAAAGTGCATCGGCGACGGCGTTGTGCACACCTGAGACATGCCGTATATCGGTCGTAAACTGAGCGATTTAGTCAAGGTGGCGCGACTCTCTAGGAGAGTATCGGTCGGTAGTCGAGCCGAGCACGTAAGTCAGGGGTTTGTGGTCGGTGAAGACGGCAAAGGAGCGGCCTTCTAAGATGTGGCGAAAGTGACGTATCGCTAGATACATTGCTAGTAGTTCTCTACCGAACGTGCTGTAGCGAGATTCGGTAGGTTGTAGGCGTTTGGAGAAAAACGCCAAGGGCTGCCACGTATCGGCTACTCGTTGCTGCAAAACAGCGCCGACTGCCGCGTCCGAGGCATCAGTACTGAGGGACAGTGGGGCGGCCGGATCGTGATGCGCTATAG